GGGAAGAGCGCAATGATGGTGCCAACTTGGGCCAGTGAAGCAACGTTCTCCACAACTAGATTGAAGAACAAAACAACAGCAACTTGTCTGTTCCCCTTCCCCTAATTCCCCAGCGCTGTTCCCATCCCCCCAATTCCTCAATAAAAAATTTTAAAATCTTAAAAAAAAAAAAAAAGTATATTCTCTAGATAGGAAAGTCCTCCATAGCCCTGACTTTTTCCTGTACCCTGAATTCTATGTCCCCATCCCTGCAGTGGAGCCTGGGCTGTGCACACCTGAGCACCAGGGGCTGCTGCCCTCTTGTGTGCGGGGCAGGAACTGCAGGTGCAGGCCGGTCCTCTGAGTGTGCAGTGGGCTGTGTCTCCCGCAGCCCCCTTCTCTGTGGTCTTTGCGGCAGTACCTGCCCAGGCCCCAGGCCTCACTGGGTCTCAGCCTGGCCATTCGTGTCAGAAGCCCTTCTTTGGGTCAGGCTGCAAGGCCCTTGGTAGGACACGCTCAAGGCCGCTGCCCTGATGACCTTACCCCTGGAGACCAAGGTCTGCCCTTCTCAGTGTCTCTGATTCTGTGGCCACGGGAGTCGGTGCTCCGTTCCCACCCTTGGATCAGTGTTGGGTGAAGGAGAGATGTAGTCTGACAAGAAAGAGGGGCAGGGAGGAAATAGATTCCCAGGTAGAAGGGGGAAAGAGTAAAACGCTTTAAAATAAAATGCAGATTTCACATGTTGTCTCCTCTCATCCAGAAAATGCTGTGTGCCACCTTGGCATAGAGGACGGTAGTTCAAAGCTGCGCGTGGCTGGCTAATCAGTGGTGTCTCCTTGCAGCGTACTTACCGAATGCCAAAGGAAATTCGTGTGGAGCCCCAGAAGTTTGCCGCGGAGCTCATCCACCGCCTAGAGGCCGTTCAGCGGACGCGGGAGGCCGAGGAGAAGCTGGAGGAGCGGCTGAAGCGCGTGAGGATGGTGAGTAGGCCTGAGTCAGGGACTCCATGCCCATCGTGGTTTCTGAGTTATTCTGTTACAGCTTCAGGCCCCGAAGGGCTCCCTCCAGGGTCTTCCAGAGTCCCCTTCTCTGTGCTTGACCACTCACCGGCTCCTGACATGCTTTGGCCCATCTCGATGGCTGGCCAAGGCATGTGCCCCTGTGACGCCATCCCCCTCTCAAGCCCCCCGCACCTCGATGCCAGCCTGGGCCGTGTCCCCGGAAAGAGGTCCCTAGGTGGGGTTTCTGCTCCAACTTCTTGTGGGAAGATAGTTAAGATGATAGCCAAGACAACTCCCAGCATTCGCCACACTGAGGCCACACCGGCTCTGCTCGGGTAGATTTCACACAGGACTCATCCATAGTGCAGACCAACCAGCCTCTCTGTGCACTCCAGGCCCAACCCCCTTCCTTCTGTCCTCCCCTTTGTGCCCTGGGCTCACTTCTCTGTGCTGAGCCCCTCCAGGCTGAGCGCCTAACCCTATGCTTGAGCACACTTACCTCATTGGCCTTGTCCCCCGCGTCCCGCATGCCCCCTGACATGTGGAGCTGAAATTTCCCTCACGTGCTGGTAGAGGCCCTTTCCGAGTACCGCCGGGTCCCGTCCCACATGCATGTGGCAGGAGGGCCTGGTAGCTCCCCCTTGTCACCTTAGAGTGCAGAGTGGCCTTGGGTTTGGCTTCTGTTTATCTTGTCTTCTGACCTGTAGCCTCATTGGATGAAATGTTGAATGCTAAGAAACTGCATCATATTTGTAATTCATTTGCTTTGATACCTTTCTGCCATAAGTGCTGCAGAGATACCTTTGTGCTCGTGTTGTCCCGGTGTCATCCTACCAGATTCATTTCCACGCATTCAGGGGCCTCAGTGCTGCGACGTCAGTAACAGCCATGCTCCTGGAGGAGGCCTGCCCCAGGCCCCTCGCACGTCCTAGCTTGTTGAACTTCATTCACTGAGGCCACTGAAACTTGTCCCTCCTGAATGCCAGGGGCGTTGCTGTCACTGGCAGACAGGCCTTTGCTTTGCTCTTAGCAGGTAGGAATTCCCCCTGCCCGAGGTAAATGGTCACCACCAAGTTCATGGGTGTATTCCATTCTCTTCTCAGTATTTCATGCCCAATACCCGAAAATCACAATTGTGATGTTTCTTGATGTTTGTGATGTTTCTTTCTCCCCTGGTCACCTGATGTTTCTGTTTAAAATACGGAACCTGAGCCCTCCTCAGACCCCATCAGAACCCCTTGGGAAGGGCCTGCTCTCTAACTTTACGTTTCTGCAGGTGAGTTGTGTGCACCTGAAATCTGGAGACCTGCCGTAATTGTAGACGTGGGGTATGGCAGATGGTCGCACCGGACAGCCTCCTTCCTTGCCCACCCTGACACCCTATGCAAGGAGTCCTTTTGGCTGCACCCTGCAGCTGCTGTCCTGAGTTCCAGAGCTCCCTTATGACACTGAGCTTCCAACCAAGGGGCCTGGCTACCCCCGTCTTTCCCTCACATCGAGACAGCAGGCAGATTTCAAACAGCTTGTCAGAGCTTGGGAGTCATGGTGGGTACCAGGAAGGCAGACCTAGAGTGAGAGAAATAGCCAGATGGTGGTGCTCTCCAGGAAGGAAATCGCATGAAAGTATTTTTAAGCACTCGTGCACACACATGCGTAAATTTTTCTTACCAGCATTCTCTCCTCTCCCTCCCCCATGGTGACTGGGCGACCTTCACTTGGACAGAATAGGTGCCAGCTTGAGGGCTTCGCACGTGCTGACTAGCTGTCCTCCACAGTTCCCACGGTTCAGTGATCTGCACAAGGTCACTTGACAGGGTGCCCGCCATGCTGGGTCCTAGTGAAGGCAGGGGTGAGACTCCATTGACCTGGAGGGAGCAGCTCCCAGGAGCTGGGGCACAGCCAGGCCGTCTGGTGGGAGCCGAGGACACCAGGGGCGCATTCACCACGGCCAGCTCTTTTTCCGGGTCCATCAGAGGCCTTATGGAATGATTCAATATGTAATTGAAGGAATGGTTAGGAGCACCACTTCCGCATTTTAGTAGCCTTCTCTGAACAAACAAATATTGGGAACAGTTGCCATGCAGTGTGGAGTGTTTTAGCAGGAGCTCAATCCCGGTTTGTGTGTTGGGACAAAGCTGGCATCATTTGTTTAGCACAGCATTTCCATGGGCATCATTGGCTTTTTTGGTGTGAGGGTTGCCCTGAGAATGTCACAGTTAACAACCCTTAAACTACATGTGCTCATGAAATAATATGCATAACACTGCGTAAAAGAAGCGTAGGGATGAATTTACCACCTTTTTTGCTACAGAATGGAGCTATCATAATTGTTCTGTCAGGTTTTCAGTTGTGACTCAGTGGCTGTGCGTGCCGGGGGTCCTGGCAGGGCAACATTTTGGGCGAGATACTGTGAAGGCAGCTGTGGTTGTGGGTAATCAGTGTGCTTTTCTGACTTCTGCGTCTTAGATATTTTCTCTCCGTGGTGTCCCTGGCAGGTGCAGGGCGGCTGTGCCTGGAGCCACCTCCAGCTCTCAGGAGAGGGGCTGGACCAGCAGCTAAAACCCAGTGGTGTTCTTTGACAGACATTTTCAAATGAATGGTCCCTTCCATGTCTCCATTATCAGCTCAGGACCTAATTGGCAGGCACGTGGCCTCAGGCCCAGGTGGGCTGCCAAAGTGCAGTGGCCTGCGGTGGCCTCCGGACACGAGTGCCAGCATTTTAGGTCATGTGCTCAGGCCTGCAGCTGCTCCAGCCGGTTTGCTCCCACAGGTGTCCCTTAGTCCTTGGGTGTGGCACACTGCTGGGAAGCTGGCAGTGCAGTCAATCTCTGTTACCATGTCTGATTTTGTAATCTACCTAAATCATGCTATCAGTGAAAGTACTAACTGCAGAATTTTTAAATAACTTCCTTTCGTTGTAAAATTTAGAAAATAAAAGCAAAAAAAACAAAAACTATTCACTGCACAGTTAAGTAAATCTGTAACATTTCAAAACCCTAAGATTGAATCCCTATGTACATGTATGCAGAGTTATTAAGGAAAACTGGGTCTCAGCCCCCAGTTTGCCCCCCCCCCCTCAGGGATTCAGAGTTCCGTCTTGCTGGCTGCTGCCTTAGGGCGGTAAATGGCTTCGGTAGTGTCTGTGTCCTGGGAAATTTCCAGCCAAGAGTCCCTGAGTCCCTGGTCTGTCAGCCTGGAAGTGCATACAGGTTGGGATGGGAGCACGGATGGGGCACAAGAGCCCAGGGCTCTGAGGCTCTCGCCAGTGTGGCTCCCGGCTGCGCCAGGAGGAGGTGCATTTTCCTTCCGTCTGTCTGTCCCCTTCGCTCGCCCTCTGTTCTCTTTGGTGCCATTTTCTACCCTGAACACGGATTGAGGAGCCCACAGCTGATTGCCTGTTCTAATGACATTTACATACTGGTGCATCAGTGAGAAATTTTGTGCTAAAGTTTTGGAGATATGTTGAGATTGAAGTGCAGGAATAGCGTAGTTCCCCCCCCCTCCCCTTCTCACTTTTTACCAAATTTACTCAACATTATTCTGGTTTGGACAATTCAATAAGATGAAAAAATAAATATGAGGTGTATCTGCTGGAGTTAAAGTGATTAAATGTTTATGTTTACAGATACAATTATTACGGTAACTCTTAGAATATTGAATAAAATTCAATTAGTGAGAATTTATCAAGAAACACATAGCGGGCCGGCCGAGTGGCGCGATGGTTAAGAACTGGCTTGGGACACCAGAGGGCCCCGGTTCGGATCCCACATGTGAGGGCCAGTGACACTGCCAAATTGGGCCAGTGAAGCAACGTCCTCCACAACTAGACTGAAGAACAAAACGACAGCAACTTGTCTGTTCCCCTTCCCTCAATTCCCCAGCGCTGTGCCCATCCCCCCAATTCCCCAATAAAAATCTTAAAAAAAAAAAAACACATAGCAAGATAAATAAACAAAAACATGTTCTTCTGTACAAGGGTGATACTGACTTTGAAAATATAATGGAAACTATGGCCATAAAATTGAGGAATAAGAAAATTCAACTGAAAGAAAACAGAAATCTTTATTGAGAAATGTAAAAGAAAACTAAACCAGGGCAGAGGCTGCTGGGTGGTCCCGACCGTCACTGGCGCGGTCCCTGAATCGTGGGTGCATGGCGGTCGCATGCCCTTTGACATGTGTGGGTGAGGACAGCACCCTGTCCTCATCCCTCCTGGGCCTGTCCTGCAGCACAGCCCACTGAGAGCCCAGCCACTCGTGCTCGGGGTCAGCAGGGACAGAAAATGCTCCAGGAGCCATCCAGGAGTCAGGCAGCCTCCACCCTACCCCCAGCCCCCAACCTCCGCACCTCTCCTGGCCCTGCCTCATCCTGGGCTCCGGGGCTCCTGACCCCCAGGACACACCTGGCCAAGCTCCCTGTTTGTCCGCTTTTTATTTGTTATTTGTTGTTTGTCTCCCCAAGTGATGTTTCCTTGGTGTGCCCAGTGCCAAGAGGTGACCTGTGGCCTTGTCCCTACAGGAGGAAGAAGGCGAGGAAGGAGATCTGTCCTCTGCCCCCCCGGGGACTAGTCACAAGCTGCCTTCGGCCCCTGCCTGGCACCACTTCCCGCCCCGCTACTCAGACGTGGGCTGCTCAGGGCTGCGCGACGCGCACGAGGAGAACCCCGAGAGCATCCTGGACGAACATGTGCAGCGCGTCATGCGGACCCCCGGCTGCCAGTCCCCAGGGCCAGGCCACCGCTCCCCCGACAGCGCACATGTGCCCAAGATGTCGGGAGTGCTGGTGGGTACGACCCTGGGCCACGGGAAGCACGTGCCCAAATCGGGGGCGAAGTTGGAAGCGGTCGGTCTGCACGTCCACAGGCACAGCCACCACCACAGCCACCATGGAGTGGCCCGGCCCAAGGAGCAGGCCGAGGCCGAGACTGCCCGCCGTATCCAGAACAGCTTTGCGTGGGGCCTGGAGCCGCACAGCCACACAGGCAAGCCCCGCAGCCACCTGGAGAGCGTGGGCGCTGCCCCCAATGCTAGCGACAGCCTGGCTTACAGGTGAGTGTTGGCAGTGGCCTGAGCTGTGCTTCCAGATCAGGGCTGTGGGTTCCTTGTCCCTGGGCCTGTGTCCGTGAGGGACACCTTCCCAGAGAGGAAGGGGTCCCAACGAGAGGTCATGTCTCCTGTGGAGTCTTTCCTGGTTTTTTAGGCCAGAATTCCCCTTTGAAAGTCTTTAAACCAAGGTCGGCTGCAGAGGCTGCAGGCTGTGGTGGCCAAGCGCTCAGGCGACAGGCTTCTGCTTGGGTTGCCAGGCTGGCCAGGGCTCCAGTCGGGAAGTGGGGCTGGAAAAGGATTCATTTCAGAGGGCGGTGTCGGGGAGGAGGAGTGGCCAGGCCCTGCATTCTCCACCAGGCAGGTGACCTGGTCTGGGCCAGTGCTGCAGCTGACCCTTGGCTCTAGCCTTCCCCAGCCTGTGCTGCCTGCACTCCTTCCTTCATCCCCTGCCATGGAGCCACCTGAAACAAACCCAGACAACCCCACAGAGCTGGGACAAAGCCTGTAGAGCATGCCACTTTGTCAAGGCCTCCACATTCAGGGAGCCTTCAGGGGGCGGAGCCCTGGTGGCCAGCCGGCCAGTGACAAGCCTGGTAAAGGCAGTGGGTGACTCCCAAGTCTTGCTTTTGCAGCGGGAAGGCTGGCACGACCTCCAAACGAAGTGCCAAGAAGACCGAGTCGGGGAAGAGCGCCAACGCCGAGGTGCCAGGCCCATCAGAGGACGCAGAGAAAAAGCAGAAGATCATGCAGTGGATTATCGAGGGGGAGAAGGAGATCAGCCGGCACCGGAAGGCCGGCCATGGGTAAGCAGAACCGGGTCGGGACTGGCCCGTGTGGCCTCAGAGCTGCTTTGCCAGGGTCCTGCGTGGCGTGGCACGGCCCCACCCAGCGTCTAACTGCAAACCATGTAGAGTGGGAGCAAGAATTTAGAGGAATCAGGTCCAGCCCATTGCAGTGTGAGCTTATTGATACCTTCCCTATGTGAGCCTATGGTGGTGTGCAGTGGAGGGTCCTGGACGCAGCTTCAGTGTCCTGGGCAGGAGTGCCTGCCGGTGAGGTCAGTCTGAAGTGACCATGCCTCTCTCTCTCTGTGAGCTCCTTTTCCTACTGCCCCAGTGGTGAGGAGGGAGCCTGCTGTCACAGCTGCTCTCACAAGGTTATTTCTGGGATGGCGACACTTACATGTGATAATGACCTAAGGCACCGCGGAAGTGAGGCAGGCACCTAACCGGCACTGCTGTTGGGGCTGTGGGAGAAGTCTTGTGTGTGTGCACCTGGTCGTCCCCCAGGCTTGGCGGGGGAGGGTCTTGTTTAACCTGCGTCCCTCTGAGCTCTGGGCTATCCCACGGGCCAGAGACTTCTTGGGGAGTGTGGAGCCAGGCCCCCCAGATATGTCCACTGCCCTCCACGGTCGGTCCATTATAGGGTGGACAGGGCTGGCTTAGATGGGGCTGGACCAGAGGCGGGTGACACCCAGGGGCCTGGGGGCATCTGCCTATCAGTGGGTGGACTGACCCTCCTTCCTCAGCCTCAGACTTACCTGACCTTGGGGGAAAGCCCTTCACCGGTATCCAGACCCCTTTGCAGCCACACAGTCTGTCCTGGTGAGGGGGCCTCTTGAGGGGCCCCTCTCCTGCTCTGCTTGGGGTGAGGTCGATTCTTGGTCTCTCTGTATTTCTGTCTTGTGGGTTTTCACAAGGATTGGGTCTGTCCCAGCTGGTCTTCCCACCCCAAACAGGGTTTCTGTGGCTGAAGAGTAAGAGGCATTTCCAGAAAGAGCCTCCCAGGTTCTGGAGGCTCTTGCCGTTAGGTAGGCTCTTTAAATTTATGGTCTTCAGGGTCCCCACCAGCCCCTCTCTGGCCTCCCTGGAGTCCAGGGGCCAGGGGGCCTGTGCCCTTGTTCTTACATAAGACAGGTCAGCTGGAGGGCAGGGAGATGAAGGGGTGGGGTAGGGGACAGAGAGTGTGGGGTGGAGAGATGAGAGGGTTGGGGAGATGGGGGTATAGGAAACTGGAAGGGGCAGAGTCGGGGGCAGGGAGACGGGGCTGAGGTCCCCCTGGGGCTGGCCTTGTGGGACTTTTTAGCAGGAGCCCACTTTCTCCAGGATACCTTTCCTTGGGCAGTTCTCACGTCACGAGAGCACTGGGCCAACCCACTTTCTAGGGGGACCTCTTGAGTTTCCTCATCTCTGCTCCTGGTACTGAGACCCGCTTTCCAGCTGTAACTAAGGCTGGCGTTTTCACTCACATCCCATCTAGTAGTTGAGTGATGGCATGTGGTTTAAGTGTAAAATATGTTCTTAGTATTTATTTATTTATTTATTTATTTATTTTTAAAGTACACTTTCTGGTTGTTTTTTTTTAAGATTTTTATTGGGGAATTGGGGGGATGGGAACAGCGCTGGGGAATTGGGGGAAGGGGAACAGACAAGTTGTTGTCGTTTTGTTCTTCAGTCTAGTTGTGGAGGATGTTGCTTCACTGGCCCAAGTTGGTACCATCATTGTGCTCTTCCCGGGCGAGGCAGATCAGTCACCAGCTTCTGGACGGCCGCTCACGGCAGCTGCTGGCCGGCTCACGCTGGCTGCTGGCTACACGCCGTAGCCCATGGCAGCCCACTGTAGCAGGGGCTGCAGCCTACACGGTCGCCGGAGACTCACGGCAGCCCAGCTCCAGGTCGAGCTATTGTTCAGCATCTTAGCTGCAGAGGGCAGTGTCACTGGCCCTCATATGTGGGATCCGAACCGGGGCCCTCTGGCATCCCAAGCCAGTTCTTAACCATTGCACCACTCAGCCGGCCCCTGTTCTTAGTATTTAACCAAAGGGAAAAGCTGATACCACATCAAGGGGAACAATCAGGAAAAATTACGTTTACAATTATGCAAAGCGTGTTACGTATTTTTAGTGGCAAGGGAAATAGACGAATATTCTGAGATTGGCTATTTCGAAATTATATGGATTATTTATATTTTTTCTTTGAATTTCCTACATATTTCAGGTTTTTCATAAAGAGCACTTAATATCAAAACTTTTTTTTAAAAAGATTTTTATTAGGGAATTGGGGGAAGGGGAACAGACAAGTTGCTGTCCTTTTGTTCTTCAGTCTAGTTGTGGAGGACGTTGCTTCACTGGCCCAAGTTGGCACCATCATTGCGCTCTTCCCAGGCAAGGCAGATCAGTCACCAGCTTCTGGATGGCCGCTCACGGCAGCTGCTGGCCGCTCACGCTGGCTGCTGGCTACACGCCGTAGCCCATGGCAGCCCACTGTAGCAGGGGCTGCAGCCTACACGGTCGCCGGAGACTCACGGCAGCCCAGCTCCAGGTCGAGCTATTGTTCAGCATCTTAGCTGCAGAGGGCAGTGTCACTGGCCCTCATATATGGGATCCGAACCAGGGCCCTCTGGCGTCCCAAGCCAGCTCTTAACCAACGTGCCACTCGGCTGGCCCAGTATCAAGATAATTTTTAAAATAGTAAATACTTTTTTAAAAGCCTTTGTATAGGATATCATTTATATTTCAGTAAAGCTGTTAGAAATAAGTTACAAAAAAAGAAGTGTGCAAGAAAGGAACGTTGGTGTTATGGGGTAGAGGAGGAAATTGCTGAGGTTCACATGGGTTCTCATGGCCACGAGCCCAAGGACATGCCTGCCCCAGGTGTCAGGGCTGCACGTGCCTCTGCTGGCTCTGCCCAGCCCCTGGTGCCGGCCTATGGCCGGGGGTTCAGTTGCTGCCACGTCTGTTCTCTTGCTCCCCAGGTCTTCTGGGGTGAAGAAGCAGCAGGCCCACGAGAGCTCCAGGCCCTTGTCCATCGAGCGTCCTGGGGCTGTGCATCCCTGGGTCAGCGCCCAGCTCCGCAACTCTGTTCAGCCCTCTCACCTCTTCATTCAAGACCCCACAATGCCCCCCAACCCGGCCCCCAACCCTCTGACACAGCTGGAGGAAGCCCGGCGGCGTCTGGAGGAGGAAGAGAAGAGAGCCAGCAAGCTGCCGTCAAAGCAGAGGTACAGATCCAGGGGTCAGAGGAGGGCCAGCGCCCATCAGGGACCCTCCAAGGGCCGTGGCTCCGTTGCTCCACTGCTCCACTTTGGGGTGGAGCTCCCCGAGGCCTGAGGTTCACACATAGAACCACGCTGGGCGCCCACCAGCAGTACTGGGTTCTTCGTTCCACACAGCCCTGCTGTTGACCAAGGGCTAGCAGGGCAGGTGGTCATTACCCTTTCCTGGGAAGGAGAATGTGTCTTCCCCTGATCACACCTGTTCTGCTATGTGAGCGTGCGCTTGCCCTGGTCATTGTGGGAGGCTGCGGGGTCCCCTCTGTGGCATGCAACTGCTGGAGGTCACACAGCTGGGTCACCAGTAGCTGCTGTGCAGGCTGAGCTCAGAAGGGGTGGTCCTGGGAATCCTGGCCGCCTCCATTCACAGCCACACAAAGAGGAGTCCTGAATGGTGCCTGCTGCCACTGTGGCCTCAGGCCAGGCCCTTTTCTCTCCCCCTGGGGAGCAGGGGGACCACCCCCGTGTGGATGGCAGGTCTTCTGTCCAGGCCAAAGTGTGGCTTCCCTGACCCTTTCAGCTGGGCCTTGAGGTCACTTGCCTCAGATGTGCTGGTTCATTGGAATTCCCGGGCAGTCAGGGTCTCTGAGGGGCCTGGAATCTAGTTCTTACCAGGGCTTCAAAGCTGCCAGTTTCTCAGACGTTACTGGCTCCCCTCACCAAGTCTTCAGTCCTTTGGTGTCCGACCCAGAGGCCTTACTGTGTTGGGGGCCTTACTCTGGGGAAGCCGATGTCAGGGTGTAGACTCTCCCCAGCGTCCATCCCATTGGGCACAGGTGGAAGCCTGAATGTGTCCCCGGGTTATTGAAGGCGACCATGTTTACAGCTAACTGTCTTACCTCGTGACCTTGTTCGGTCAGCATAGAGCCAGGTGGCTCTGAGGGAGGCCTGTGACCTGGCGGCCGACAGGGCAGTGGAGGGCAACTTGGCTAGGACAAGGGCGGGGACTAATTCTGCCGGGGGCGTCTGGGACTTCTGTTTGCCTCGGGCTTTTGGGGGCAGGGCTCGTGTCCCCTCTTCTCAACAGTACCCAGCAGACCCCTCACAATAGCGTGTTCTGTCTGGCCAGTGGTTCTCTGTGACTCGTGTTTTGGGGGTGAGCTGCCTTAGGGGTTTCAGCCAGTAGCTCTGGCATCTGCACGTGTCATTGGTCCAGGGCTTTTTGTAAATGACCACAGAGCAAAGGCCTGGAGGCGGCAGTGGGGGTCCTGGGCCTCCCCGCGTTCCTCGTGGGGTGACTCCCACCTAAGTCGGTCAGAGCAGAACTCACTCTCAGGGCCACACAGCCCATGCCCAGGGTGGACAGCCACTTGGAGAGGAGCCGCTGGGCAGTGAGCCCCAGGACAGGACTCTGGCTACTGCCAGCAGAGCAGTGACCACGCTCCAGGACCCGGACCCATGTCAGAGCACCGAGTGGGAAGAGCCGCGCCCACGGGGAGGAGGCCAGAGGTCGGTCCTCTGAATGTGGATGAAGTGACGGGATCCCAGCACCTCAGATGAGGGCTTCCCCATGTATGTTCCAGGGAGCCTGAGGGCTCTGACCAGACAAGGCATCTGGGAACTCGAATGATGAAGCCAACATCTAGTTCTTGACTGATCCTGGCAGACCCACCACCCAGGAAGGGGTTTGGTGTCTTGCCAGTGAGAGCCTTGCGTGGTGGTGATGGCCCCTCTTGGGAAGTCCCTGCTCCGCCTGCTGTCTGTCACCTGGTTGTCACCTTGGAGTGGAGGCGGCCCGGCCCCAGGCCCGGGTGGCTCACTGATGCGGTTGTTCCCTAGGTATGTGCAGGAGGTCATCCAGCGGGGGCGCTCTTGCGTCAGGCCGGCGTGCACGCCTGTGCTGAGCGTGGTGCCAGCGGTGTCCGACATGGAGCTCTCCGAGACAGAGTACGTGCGCCCCCCACGGGTCCTCCCGCACCGCCCACCCAGCCCTCGCTGCGGGCCAGGCCCCGAGGCACAGCAGCTGTTCCCAGGGCGGGAGCCTGGGCACCGCACTGGAAGAGCTGGGGCTGCAAGCTGTCCACAGGCCTTTCCTTCCTGTCTCTCCGTCAAAGGGGACGCTGACCGTCCACGTGGCGACAAATGACCAACAGTCCAGAAAGGAGGTCTGCTCTGCCTCCTCCACTCTGACCACACGTCCCCACCTGCTTTCACTTTCCCGAGCTTTCCAGCCAGGCCTCGGGACTTGACAGGGTCGGGGCTGCAGCGATCGTTCCCCTGACGCTGCCAACTGAAGGCGTCAGTACCTGTGGGGCGTGTGTGCCCAGACGCTGTGTGCACAGACAGCCTGGCTTTGTGCTCATGTGGGATGTATCTGCTCCCCAGGTACACGTGGAGCAGGGTGATCATTTAGGGACCTGCAAGCCACATGCAGACAATGCCAGCCACCCCCTCATCGCTGCTTTTCCGGTTGAGACAAAGTAGAAGGGGGTCCCCCACCTCAGCTCTCACCAGGCTTCCTCCAGACAATGTCCGCCGGCTCAGAGCTCCCCTACCAGGTCACTTCTCAGGGACCCTGCCTCCCTTCTGTAGAGAACAGGCCCACTCAGGACCACCCACGTGGGCTCCCCGGACAAGTGGGGTTTCAGGTTGCAGGACTAAGGGAAGGAAAGCAGGAGCCAGGGAGCCTGGCTCTATTGATGACAGCCACTCAGATGAGGTGACTGCACGGTGTGCACCAAGGGGCGGCGGGGAGGGTGCCCAGGGAGAGAGGAGCCCGCTGTGAGTTCAGGTGGCCTTCCTGGCATGACACTGGCACAGGAAACTTCTGTCTCGCCTAGCTAGCGGGGGCAAGGGCTGTGCCCACATGTACCCAGACAGCTCCGGTACAGCCACAGGGAGCAGGGACCCTGGGGGACAGAGGGAGTCCCGCCTGTCCCAGAAAGAGTGGCTGCTCAGCGCATCAGCGTGAGGGTCCTATGCAGTATGGGCAGGAGATGGTGTGGACCTCACACCCTCTCTTGAGCCTGGCTGGTCACTGCCTCTACTCTTTGGATGAGCTCTCCGCTGTGGAGCAGGCCCGTTTCAATATTCATCACAGTTCTATTTGGCCAATCCCTGGCCTGCAGATGTTTCTGAAGTTTTGAGGCTGTAGGCAAGTAGTGGAGGACAGCTGGAGGCAGGGGCTGTATTGGTTTCAATGGCCCAGCCGCCTTGAAAGCGAGGTGGACGGATCCACCGTGGGTTCCAGCCCTGAGAAGCTGCCTGCCCACTTTTCCTGCCATCTGTGTTGGGGTGCTGCCTGCCTGCCAGCCAGCTCAGGCCACAGTGAGACCTGGGGCTTTCCCGTAGGCGGAGGAGGGCGGCAGGCAAGCCGAGGCACCAGGTGTGGGGCAGGCAGGGGTGAGAGATAAGCGGGAGTCCACACTGTGTGTCTCGGTGTGTGGGTTTGCTGCAGAACTGGAACCCAGTGTTGAGCCAGTGTGTGGGGCGAAGCCCCCAGGAACTAGATGGTGCTGTTCAGGTGGGGTATGGATGCCTGACATTGCTGAGTGAGTTACAGCTCACCCCTGCAGGCCCTGCCCCGTCGTTTACTGGGGAACCCGAGGCCTGAGGCATATTGTGGGGTGCCCTGGGGAACCCTGAGCCCAGCAATCACTGCTACGTCTTTGCCCCCAGGATGAAATCACAGAGGAAGGCGGGCGGTGGGACCACCCAGACATGTGACAGCATCGTCGTGGCTTACTACTTCTGTGGGGAGCCCATCCCCTACCGGACCCTGGTGAGGGGCCGTGCTGTCACCCTGGGGCAGTTCAAGGAGCTGCTGACCAAGAAAGGCAACTACAGGTAAGAGTGAGGGGCTGGGGTCTGTGGTAAGCAGGCGCCCTGCCCAGAAGGTAGTGCTGTGTGTCCTGTTCCCACCCTGTTCTCATTCTATCTGATCCCTGTTCCCTCCTTACCCACTTACCCAACCCCGAGCTGTTAGCGGGAGCCCCTGGGCGTGTGAGGTGTGGGTGGCCTTGGGGCTCCAGTGCCAGGTGACTGAGGCCTCCAGGCTGCCTGAGGGGCCTGGACGGTCGTTGGCTTAAAGGTGGGGGAACAGGCCCAAACACAGTGGTCTGGCGGTCCCCATACTGATTTACCCTGGGTTGGCCTTGTCTCCAGCCCCCTAACTCAGCCATCTTTACTGGATGCAGAAGCCAGGGCTCCCCTTCCAAGGCTCCAGGCTCCGTTCCCAGGGCCTGCTCTGGGCTGCTTGGCCCTGCCAGCCTGAGACCAGCCCCTGAGACTCCTGCGTGAACACTGTAGGAGGAGCAGGGGGCAGCTGGGTCTCAGCTGGGGTCAGCCCACTGTTGCCTCTATCCACCGAGGGGCAAGAAAGTGCCCTTTGGAGGGTGTGGCTGCTGGAGGAGGGTCTGGGTTCCACTGGCCTCTACTTGGGCCTTAGTGGGGGCACATCACCCCAATGGAGATGACAGGCTCAGCCCTTAGGAAACAAACCCCAAACTTGCCCCTTTCTCCCCCACAGCACCTTAGAAGCCAGGGCAGGGGACCCTATACGTGGTCAGTGCACTGTTCACTGTCAACTGTCTGGCAAATGGGTACCAGGAAGAGCCAGTTTGTGTGCCCTGCATGTGTCTGGAGCCTGGTTGCCAAGTGCTGTGCACGTGGGGGAGCATGGGGCCACCAGGCTAGGCGGTCGAAGACCCCAAGGGTGTGGGGGTGTGGGTAGGAGAGGAGTGGATAGGCCCTCATCTCCCACCCCCTCCCTTCCCCTCTCCCCCCAGATACTACTTCAAGAAAGTGAGTGATGAGTTTGACTGTGGAGTGGTGTTTGAGGAGGTTCGGGAAGACGAGGCCGTCCTGCCTGTCTTTGAGGAGAAGATCATTGGCAAGGTGGAGAAGGTGGACTGACCGGCAGGCCTGGCCTCCGCACCACGCGGGGCCCGTGTCAGCTGGCGTGGGGAGAGCCACCCCGAGAGCCAGGAAGGGCCATGCCACGCCAGGTGCCCGCACGTGTGCAAACACACAGCTCCGGCGTAAGGCCAGGGGCTGCCTGCCACACAGCCGCCCAGCCCTTCGGTCCATCTGTGTCCAGGTGAGCGGGGATCCTGCTGAGTGGTCCATAGGCGTCCGTTCTGCTGACGAGGAGGGGCCCGTCCACTTTGCTCTGCAGCTGTACTCTGAGAGTCTGCCCAGCAGGGATCCCACCATGGGGCCAGCAGGACGACCCTCCCCAGCGGCCCCCTGCTGCTAACCATGGGCCCACCCCTACACCTCCCTGCAGCCAGGGTGCTCATACCACAGGATCTGCTTCTCACTCCTGGACTCTCCCACCATGCCCTGCCCTGGTCAGGCCCAGCCCAGGCCTGGGGTACAGGGGGCCCTGGGGTACAGGGGGCCCTGGGGGGCCTCTAAATTGTACATGTCACCGAGTGCCTTCGACACAGCTTGTCTCTTGCCTGCCACTGTGTGGACCCGGCGACGGGGCACCAGGGTGCTCCCTCTCCCCCTCAGCTTCCACAGCCCCTGCTCAGCGGGTCCGGGCCCCTCCTTTCTAAGGGCCCATGTAAATATGTACATTTCTTAGGTTAGGGCCAGCAGGGGGCTACCCCAAGCCCATTTTTCATGCGCTGACTTGTACAATTATCTTTTCAAAGGTACTTGGATAATAATGAAATAAAACCATTTTTGAACCTTCCCTGGCTGTGAAGTGTACCGGTCTTCTGTGGGTGGGGCCTGGCAGGTGGGTATGCCATCCTCGGCCAGTTCCTGGCTCATGTGGCCTGGCTCCTCACAGCCCCTGTCAGGCCTCGGCAGCAAAGGAGGTCACACTGGCCTCTGAGGGTCTCAGGGTGGGATGTCTTATGGAGCCATGCCAGCAGAGCTCTGGAGAGGGAGGGCCTGAAGCTGGCAACAACAGCATGCCCCCCTTTCTTGCCCAGGTGGGGACCAGACCCATACCCGAGCCAGGGATCCACTGAGGTGGGCTAGGGGCAAGGAAGGGCTGGGCCCCATCCAACATGGAACGGGCCCCAGGAGGCTGAGGTTTGGCCAAAGCCAAGGGCCAGGGGGCCAGCCGTGCTCAAGAACCTCACACAGTCTAGGACCATAGCTCTTTATTCAGGGCCCAGTCTCCCAGGCCCCAAAGGCGACAGCTCCCCTACCCTGATGTGGGGACAGCTACAGCTCTTCCTTGGGCTCCGAGGTGGAATTGCCTGGCGTCTCCTGGAAGGGGTCACAGAGGCCCAGCTGGAAGCTGTACCCTGAGCCCACCCCTGCCCAGTCAGTCCCATAGCCATGCTTCCAGAGGACTTGTCCAGAGGCCTGGCACCTTGGACAGAGGCACTCACCGGGAAGGGGGCTGAGGACTCCTTGGTGGGCTCCTCTGTGGGCAGCTCGCCCCCGTTATCCAGGAATTTGGAGAAGGTCTCCAGGTCCCTGGCGCTTCTGTATTCAATCACCTGAGGAGAGACAGAAGGGTGTGGAGGACATGCCCCACCCAGGCCACGCCCTCTAAGGCCAGGTCACGCCCTATACTAGGACTTGCACTGAGTCCACGCCCCATCCCAGGGCCAGCCCTCTGAGGCCACACCCTCTGGGCCATGCCCCATCATCAAGGAAGGTGGGGTCCTGCCTTACCTTGCGACCTGGCCCTGCTGGGAAGTACTTGAGGGTGGGGAAGCCATGCACTGCGAAAGCCTCCAGCTCGTTGGCCGTTGCATCCAGCTCGGCGATGACGATGTCCTCATGGTCCTTGTACTTCTCGGCCAGCGCCTCCCAGGCAGGGGCCATCTCCTTGCAGTGCGTGCACCACGGGGCATCTAGGATGAAGCAAGGGGGGCGTTGGCAGGCCAGCAGGGCCACCCATCCACCCACTGTTCCCCCACACTCCACACTCACAGAACTTGATAAACACATTCTTGGTTTCGTCAAAAGCCACCTGCTCAAAATTCTTGCCCACAAGGGTCTTGACTGGACGCTGGTCCCAGTCGGGGGGGACTTCCTGGCTCAGGAGATAGGGCTGGGGAAAGCCGGGCATGGCGCTTTGCTGGGGACCTCTCCTGAGAGCCGCTGCTCCCACCCCACGCCCTGGGTGGGCTACCCAGCACAGACCTTGACCTTGCCACCGAGGACAGCGTGGCAGAAGGCGGTGACTGAGGCTGCAGTGACCGGCCCACTGTCCACAGGTGTGTACTTTTTGGTGGTCTCCATGTTGATGAAGCGCAGGGTGGGGGCCTCTTCAGCCATCATCCCAAAGTACTGGAGCACGTGGTCGTTGTTGGCACCCACATCCACCACCACGAACAGCACCTGCCAGCAGGGAATCCATGCTGGGCACTGGCTTTGCCACCACCCATCCCCCTCAGCCAGCCAGTACCTGCCCCCGGAATGGGGGAGCCGCCTCCCTGAAGCCCGCCAGCAGCTCCTGGTGTGGGGCCAATGTCTGGTTGATAAACAGCAGCAGGTGGTTGAGGACCTTGGCCGCAAAGATCTTAGGGGATGTCTGCAGGGACAGGCCAGACTTGTGGGGGCCAGCTCCCGTGGTCAGCCTCTTACTCCCCCCACTCTCACCCCGCACGCACACCTGCACCTGCACCTGCACTTGCACCTGCAGCACAACTCACCTCACTGTTGAACTCCGTGACCAGGTGCATGCTGTGGGTGAGGAGGAAGTAGGACAGATCCCCCTGGTCCAGGCCCAGCTCTTCGTCCACTGGGAAGTCTGCCCGCCCCTCATCAAACTGGACAACATCAGGTGGGTCAGCAGGAGCCATGGCGCTGACCCTGACCCCTGTCTCGGCCCTGACCTCAGCACGGACCCACCTTCTTGAAGAGGACCACGGTGTCCTTGGTGAGGCCAAACTTCTGAAAGAGCTGCGGCCGGTCAGTGAGGCCAAAGGTCATGTCCAGAGCATCCTGGGACAGGGCCAGGAAGGTCGCCACATCCTCGTCCTGCAGGTCCTAAAGGGCCCACACCTGTGAGGCCAGCTGGGGCCATAGACTCTGCTCCCAAGGCCTGGCCCTCCGTGCCCCTAGCTCACTTGGAAGAAGCCGATGACCACGACGTCCTGGGCATCTATCAGTGCTTGGGCGCTCTCCTCATCCTCCAGCCGGGTGGCGCTGGACCCCACCCGCCGCCTCAGCCACTCAGCAATGCCCTTGGCCTCCCGGGGGCCTGTGGAGAGTCCCCTCAGCGGGTCTAGCCCCTGCTTCACCCCATCCCACACACACATGCCTGCCCCCTTCGCCCCCGCACCAGTGTACTCCTCGGGGTGCGTGCGGTTCCCGTCACGGAAGAACTTGAGCGTGGGGTATTCTGTTACAGCAAACTCCTCGGTCAGCTCTGGCTCCGCTGGCCCGTCCACCTTGGCCAGCCTAGTTTGGGCTGACTCTGCCGCCAGCAGGGCAGCCGCCTTGCTGTACTCGGGGGCCAGTGCCTTGCAGTGCCCACACCATGGGGCATCTGAGGGACAAAGCCATGAGTGCCCTTGGCCTCCCCTGCCCCAGCTGCAGCCCCTGCTCCTGCCTGGCCAGAGCTGGCAGACACTGGGGGCCAGTCAGGTCCAGCATGGAGCATGTCCTGTCAGCACCTCCTTCCTTCAGGGGCCCACTGGAGCCTCAGCCACACCAAGCCCAAGCACCAGAGATGAGACTACTGACGGCCTCCAGCTGGGGGTGCAGCCCCCAGCACCATCCACCGAGTGTGAGAAGAATCTGGTGGTTGCTCCTTGAGGCAGGGCTCCCAGCCATATGCCACTCACTGTCTGCTGATGCCTGCCAGCTCAGTGGCTTTTACATGTTAAAGGGTTGTTAAAAAGCCACACAAAAATATGCAAGCCTGAGTTGGATCTGGCCCTTTACAGAAAGTGCCACCTGTGCCTCCCCTCCCACCTGCTTAGGCTAGACCCCCCAGGCCCAGCTCAGCCCCAGGGCTCTACCTCAGGTGCCCTCCGATGGAGCCCCACGAGGGCCCCTGAAGTGCATAAGCCCCCAGGTCCTCGGGGTGGGGGTTTGAACCCACTGGGTAGCCCCTGCAGGGGCCTCCCCTCCCCTCCCCGCCCCGCTGACCCTGCGCACTCACAGAACTCCACCAACAGGGCAGGGTGCTCACTCAGGGCCAGGCCCAGGGTATGTCGGTTCAGCACCAAGACCCCATCCTCCTCAGAGATCTCCTCCTCTGAGGGCTCCTCCGAGGGACCCCTTGTCTTGGGCTCTTGTGCCTGTGGGCCTGAGACCCCGAGCAGCAGCAGTAGCAGCACAAGCAGGAGCTGGCTGTCCATGGCAGTGCCAGGGCTCGCGGGGCGGGGGCAGATAAGGGGGCTGGGGGCCAAGCAACAGCCGCCACGTGGCACCCAGGCCTGGTCACAGGGAAGATAAGGCCACCAGGCTCCCCCCCCCACTCCCCGGGGGAGGGGAGGCAGACAGAAGCGACACTGAGGACACCAAGACAGGGCAACGTTTAATAGGACTATTCAGGGCACAGCACCAGGCCTGGGGAGGGGGTGTCCCAAGGCAGGGCAAAGGGCGTGGGGGGTCTAGTCACTGACAGAGGGGGCTGGAGAATGCTCGGGGATCCCTGTGCAGCAACTGGCAGAGGCAGGGGAAACAAGGACTCCAAGTGGGAAGACAGTTCCCGGGACAGGGGTCAGGGGAGTGGCGCTCAGCTCTTCCAGTCTTGGCAGATGTGGAGGCCCCACTCCCAGGAAAGGTGGTCTGCCCTGTCGTCATCAGTGAAGAAGGATGTGACCACATAGGCACCCCTCACCAGGGCGCCCCGCGGTGCCTCCTCCACCGGGGTGATGAACTCGTACTCCTGGGTGCTTGGACCATAGCTGCCCACCATGTACACGGCCTTGTCCACTGGGGGCAGGGGAGGGAGTCAGGGTCATCCTCTATCCCTCTGGCCCCCACCTGGCGGCCCCCCAGGCTGCCCCTTCCCCATGGCCCTCACCTCGCAGGCCCCCGCGATAGGTGTGATGCAGACACTTGAGACCACTGACAATCTCCTTATTGACCTGAAGGACAGTGGGTGTTAAGGGGTCTCTCTGGGGGACTGAGCCTGCGGCTGGCAGGTGTCCCCCAGTACAGCTATCCTCACCTTGAAGGTAATCTTGACTTTGTAATCAACACCCTCCTTTAGAACGAACACCTGGTTTTTCAGCGCAGCTAGCTCACCTGTTAGGGAAATTGCAGCTGAGGAATGAACTGCTGTGATGGCTGAGACCCTGCCCAGGGGCCCCTTGGCGGGGAAGGCAGTACCTATGCAGTCTACATGACAGATCTAAGGACTCGGGTGTGGGCACGGGGGCCTAAGAGGTCTCAAAGCACAAAAATCAGTCTGTGGTTTGCAGAGGGGGTTACCTGTGAGGTCCATGGTCATGGGCCCTGGAGCCTGCTCGGACATCAGTGTCAGCCTCATCACCTGCACGTTGGGCAGGCTCGGGTCTGAGGAGAAACTGGAAGTCTACAGGATGCACCCGCCACCCTGCCCCGCCCTGCCACTCCCAGGGCCTGTGCATACCCATGGCCAGCGGTAGGGGCCCTAGCAGCACCCGCTTGTACTTGGCCAGGCTCTCATCATCCGGGTCCAGCTGCTGGATCTCTAGGAGGCTCTTCCTCCCAGGGGCTTGGTACCCAGGGACAGCTTCATCCAGCACCTCATCTGGTGGCAGCTGCCCCCCCTCCTTGTCTGTCAGGAGGACTGGGAGTTGGGGAGGTGAGTGAGCAACTACTGCCAGCTGACCCTGGCATTTCCTTGTCAAACCGGAGCCTCCCCCATCTGGTTAGCTGTACATCCCACTGCCCAATGGAACTTAAGAGGAAGCCAGTAGGGGCACAGGGAGGGAGGGGGTGTGGGATTAGGGAAGGGGGTGTGAGTTCAGAGAGGGAAGGGTACGTGGGGGCTCAGGGAGAGGGGTGGGGTCCCCTTTAGGAAGGGTCTTGGGGGTGTGGAGAAGTCTCCCAAGAGCCAAGTGACATCCCTCGCGGCATCAGCTGCCTTCCCCTGGCCCAGCCAGGGCCCCTCCCTGACTCTGAGGCCAAAGATGGCTGGAATGAAGACCTCAAATTGAGGATGGCCCCAAGGGCTGGGGGCCACCACCATTGAGTGGCAACCTCCCAGGGCGTCCCTGAAGCAAAGGCTCTGCCCTCACAGTCTTCTGGGTCCCCCAGTGCCCTGGGGACTCTTCCCATATTCCCATAAGGCTCTCAGATGCCTCTGGCCCCTACCAACCTGCTCAGGGACTAGGGTCTCTGAACACCTTCCCACAGTCCTAGGGGTTCTTTTCATAGTGCTCCTCGGGGGTGAGGGTTGGCTCTCTCAAATCCTTCAGCTTATCCTTTGGGGCCACCTCCCAGTCTCCTAGAGCCCTTTCCCAAGGTAGGCTGGGGTAGGGGGGGGTCTCTCCAAGCCCTTCCCATAGTGTCTTGGGACAGGGTTGTCTGAGTCCCTGCCCACTGCACTCCTGTCCTCTCAGGAATCATCACACACCCTGAGGGAGCTCCAGCCCCACCCAAGGGAGAGGGGATCTCTGGGGCAGGTTCCCAAGGGGAGAGGGTCCCTCTGTCACTGTGGCTTCACAAACAGACCCGCCCACTCTTGGCTCCTTTCCCTGAGTGTTTAGCCTGGACGAAGCCCCCCCATCCCCGCCAGAACCCTGCAGGGGGACGGCGCCACAAGGTCCCCACGCGCGCGCCCCCAAAGTTTCCACGGGGGAAGGGGCCGGTCCCCGCCCCGGGCTAAAACTGCCCCCGCCCCGCCGGAGCCCCCCCGCCCACGTGGCCGCCCTGGCCGTAACCCGGCTGGCTCACCTCGGGCGCACAGCGCCAACCGGAGCAGTTCCAGCAGCTGCGCCCCCAACTCGCACGCGTCCAGGCCCAGCATGGTGGCCCGCGGCCCGGCCGCGCCGCGGAGCCGCCGAGGAGCTGCCGCCCGGCTCGGCGCTCAGCCCCGGCGCGACTGCGGTGAGCTCATCCCGGCCGGGAGCGCCCCCCGCGCCCAGGCTGCGGGTCCCAGAGGTCGCGCCGGCCCGCTCCCCGCCCCGCTGAGAGGCGCCGTCTCGTCCTGCGCCGCGAGCTGGCGGACGCGCTCCCANCAGCCGCTCCGCGGACCCCGCGCAGCCCCGCAGAGACGCGCGTGTCGCCCGCACGGCGCCTGCACCCGGTCGTCCCCGCCGCGGGCGCACCCGGACCCTGCACAGCCGCCGCGGACACGGACGCACACGGCCGCAGTCAGGGTCCCAACCGCCCACCCGACTGCACCCCTCTCTGGCCATCAGGGCTGCCCCACCCCAGCGGCGCCAGTGGGAGTCTGAGGGGTCTCCGGGGAAGCTCTCTGGGCGGGGCCAGTGGGACTGGGGGCACCGAGTGGAGCAGGTGCGTCCCTTTCATGTCCCTAGGCTCTCGTTATCGGCAGGCAGTGCAGGCCGCACCTGAGGCCGGACAGTCCCCCACCTTCCCCCTGCTCTCCACCGCGGAGCTTCTGTCTGGGCAGAGGGGATTCCTAGAACACCCTCATCCCCTGCCTTGGGGGCTGGGGTGTGTGTGTCTGCACCCCAGAGGTTCAGTCACCAGCACAGTGCTGGGGTCCCACCCACACAGTGAGGTGCAATCCGGAGACACACACAGCCATTACTCAGTGTTTTTATTGACTGGGCTGTGTGAGTGTGGCGGGGGTGGGGTGGGGTCTCTGAAGGCTCTGGGGACCCAGACGATCCGGAAGGCCCCTGTCCTTGGAGAGAAAATGACACTGATCCAAAACAGGACCAGGGTGGTGGAGTGCTGAGGGGGCTTCTTGATGCCTGAACAAACCCCGGGGGTGGGAAGATGGGGGTCAGCGAGGGCAGGGAACAGGGGTGAGCTGGATCAAAGGCCTAGGTCTGCGTGGAGGAGGAGATGGAACACGAGCCTGAGTCCGCCTTCTTCCTAGACCCTTCCCTTAGTGTCTTGGGACACACTCCCAGGATAGTCAGACCCCTCACCCTGACTCCACAACCCCCTGCACCCCCAGTACTGGCACAGCCTGAGGGCACCACTCATGAGGTGAGTATGGGGGCAGGGCTTACAGTAGACCCCAAACCATTGTCCCCCACCCCAGCCCACCTTCCCCACAAGTCCCCTCTCTCCTGGAGACCCTCTCCTCATAGAGCCCCCTCCCCTTCCCTGGGCTCCTATCCTCTCCCTGAGTCCTCACCACCCTCCCTGAGCCCCCCTTTCCTGTATTCCCTCACACGGCCTCTCTCTAAGCACTCCGCCCCAGGGTAGGCATCTCCACGTACCGCCTCAGGCCCCCTCCTACGGGTACCCGGCCCCCCGGCAAGTCTCCGTGGGCACGGACCTTAGTTTCTCGTGACTTGAGGGGAGACTCCTCGGAGTGGCCCGTCGGGCGCCGCCCCGCTCCCAGACTCGGAACGGGACCTGGGACCAAGCCCAGGTCGGGGAGGGTTAACTCAGGCGCGGGGCGGGGCGGGGCGGGACGGCTCCGACGCCAATAACCCCGCCACGCCAGCCTCGCCCCGTAGCCATGGCCGCGGGCCTCGCGCCCCCCGGCGGGCGCCCTCGTGAGCAAATGCCGCACCTGAGCAAGGTGGGTGCGGTGTGGGGGTCCCGCCGTCCCCGGAATTTTCTGGCCTTGAGGCTGGGAGGGGCAGGAGAGGAGTGGGTGCGGGTGCGGACGCACGCTAGTGTGGACTTTGCGTGAACGCGCGAGTATGGACGCGGGCCTGGGGGCCCTGGCACCGTGTGGGGCGGGGTGAGGCGGCAGAGACCCCCGGCGCTGGGGTGGGTGTCTCCCCTTGCCTCCGCCCCGCCCCTTCTGCGAGCACAGCCTGAAATCCCACCATCTGTGCGGTTTAATCTCTGCGCGCACTGATCCGGGCATCCGGGCCAGGTCCGTGCAATCAGGATCTGGGGTGGGGGGAGGCCGGCGGGGGCAGCCCCTCATGGCCCTCTTCGCCCAGATGGAGCGGGTGGTCGTGAGCATGCAGGACCCTGACCAGGGCGTGAAGATGCTGAGCCAGCGACTGCTCACCACAGTCATTCCCCACGCAGTGACTGGTGAGGCTGGAGGGCCAGGGGGTGAAGGGGTAGGGGGGCGGTGGCAGGCCTGGCCTCGGCCTCCCCCACCCAACCCGTGTTACGCAGGCAATGACATCATGGAGTGGCTGATCCACAAGTACTGCATCTCAGAGGAGGGTAAGGGGGTCAGCCCGCTGCCCATCCTGGTCCCCACCCTGCCCTAAGGTCCCTGTGCTGGTGGCCTAGGCTGAGCCTTCTGGAGCCAAGCCAAGTCTGCTTGGGAAGGGGAGCTTATCCCAGAGACCCTGCTCAGTTCTCCCCAGCTGAGAACTCACCACCTCGCACCCCCTCAGAGGCCCTGCACCTGGGCACCCTCCTCCTACGGCATGGCTACCTGTACCCGCTGCAGGACCCCGGCAGCCTCGTGCTCAGGCCAGATGAAATGCTCTACAGGTTCCAGGTCAGGCTCAACTAGGAGCAGGTGGGAACCCCCCACCCAGCAGCACAACTAGTGCAGACTCCGGGTAGGGGCGGAGCTGGGGCTGGAGCAAAATGTGTGATGTCAGGGTGGGCCTGGTGGTCTACCACCCCCTCCACAAAAGGCCTGGACTGCATGCTTTTTTGTGGTAGAAGGATCGAGTTCAGGGGGAGAGGCCTTCAGTGTCTGTGGGGCCACAGCAAGTCCTCCACTAGGGGTAGGACCGTGGAGGATTCTGCCCGCTTCCCAGGTCCTTAGGCCCCACCCCTGAAGAAGGAAGCTGGGTGGGGCCTGACAGTGGGATTCCTGCACTTCCTTCCTGCCCTCCCAGGCCAGGCCTGCCTCCCAGCACAGGCTGTGACTGTCCTGGAGCTTGGGCAGGCCCCACCCCACCCCTCCCTGGAGCTCACAATCAGGGAGGCAGTCCCTGCACAGGGACCCAAGGGGTGAGTGGAGGTCACTTCCAGGTGGAGGGAACAGCCATTCATCAGCTGAGCCTCTAGGCCATAGGCTGACAGGCAGATCCTCAGGCACCCCCTCTCACCCCACCCGCCAGCCAATTTCCTCCCAAGGTAGATGAGAGGGTGGGGGCAACTCCTGGGGTGGGGAAAGCCTAGGAGGTCCCAGACACCCTTGTCCCTACATGGCACCAGACACCTTATTTCTGGACGAGCACCCTGTGGCCAGCTGCTGAGCTCGACTATGGTGAGTGAGGAGGGGTGGGCTAGCCTGGGACAAGCTCCTAGGACTGGTGGCCTCTGGGTGATGCCACGGGGGAAAGCGGGGGGGGCAGAGCTTGCTCCTCTGCAGTCTTTCCCCCTGTTCTCACAGCCATCTACTTGGCCAAGAAGAACATCCGAAAGCACGGGGCCCTTGTCGACCACGAGAAGGTGGGACCCCCACCCCAGGCTGGGTTCGGTCGGAGGAATCCAAGCCCCACTCATGTCCCCGGGGCCTCATATTTTTCCCGGCAGCACACAGCCTAAGCCCCAGGATATTGCAGACATGCACACACAGGCCACACCCAGCGTGGTCTCAGTGGGAAGGGGAGGGGGGTCCACACCCCAGAGCTTGGCATAGAAAGGGGTAACCCACTGGAGACCTCGACACCACCCCCAGGAACGTTATGATCAGCTGCACAGGAAGATCAACCACATGTGGGACCTGGTGGTGATGCAGGCAAGAGAACAGCTGCGGTGAGACCCCAAGCCCAGCAGGCATGGAGCCCAGACTGCCCGGGAAGCCCAGGGGCCCTGAGCCGGGCACCGACAGCCATGGCACCAGACACAGCACAGCCCAGGCTTTTAGCTGCCTGCCTAGGCCCTGGCCTGAGGGGTGGGTGGGGGAGGTGCCATGGTGGGCACCCATGGTCCCCCAACTCCACAAACCCCTCCCCAGGGCAGCTAAGCAGCGCAGGAAGGGGGACAGGCTGGTCATTGCATGCCAGGAGCGGATGTACTGGATGGTGAACAGGCCCCCGGTGAGTCCCTCGTGGGGGGAGGGGCTGGTTCCATGGACAGCAGCAGGTCGGGCCAGGAATTACTGTGTGTGCCTCAAATGCTCTATTAGGAGCTGTGGGAAGGTTGTGTCTTTTGGGGTCTCAGCGGGTGACAGGACTTTCTAGTTCTGTGGCTCATCAGAACGTAGAGATCATGAGGCCAGGCCTGAGGCTAACCGCCCCCCACTCCCATAGAGCAAAGGACAAACAGCTTCCCTCTGGGTCTAAGGGAGAGGCCCAGGGAAGACAAGTGGGGGGACCTGAAGACCCCAGGGAGGAGGCACGTGGGCTTAGCTGCAGCTTCTGGGGGTGCTGGCCTGGCATTAGGCCTTACCCAGGACCCTGGTCCTGGAAGCTGGTTTGAGGTCCCCTTACTGTGTGGGGCTGTGGGTCCTCTCAGGTGGTCACAGAAAACCCTGAATGGAAGCTCCTCTGGGAAAAACCCATGGAAAATGACGAGAAGCACCCACGGTCCTGATTACTTCATCAAATGTGTGTAGAGGGGTATCTCTGGGAAAATGACTTAATCTTCCACCTGAGGGCCAGACAGGTGGAGGAAGGCATGGCCCCAGGGCTGTGTGTTGGGCCAGACCGACCATGTGGGGTGAGGGGTTTGTGTGGAGGGGGCCAGGAAGGGCAGCTGGAGCCTCTGGGTGAGTGGATACGAGGGTTCCAACCTAGGCAGCGGTGAGGGAGAGGGCCAGACCACCTTGTGTGTTTGAAGACAGGGTGGCAGGACAAGTAGGTACAGGTGAGAGGAACCGTCTCAAGAAGGATGGTTAGGGGGTGGCCGGGTGGCTCAGTTGGTTAGAGTGCATGCTCTGAACAACAAGGTTGCTGGTTTGATTCCCACATGGGGTGGTGGGCTGTGCCTTCCGCAACTAGATTGAAGGACAACAACTTGACTTGGAGCTGACGGGTCCTGGAAAAAAAAAACCCCACTGTTACCCAAATAAAACAAATAAAAAAACAATAAAAAAAAGGATGGTTAGGTGGTTATGTTTCTGGCTTGAACAGTCAGGTGCAGTCAGGTGCATGGAGGTGAGTTTGGATGAGAAGAGGAACAATGGGGAGGTTTGGGGAGAAAGGTGAAGGATTTCACTGTAGTGGCAAAGCCAGGCTGGAGTGACCCATGGATTTGGAGCTCAGTGGAGCCATGAGCTGGACGATGTGCTGAAGCGGCTGTAGGAGGGAGGTCACCATGGGGTATTGACAGAGAGGAGACTGGGGGTTCAGGGGCTCAGGACTCAGGTTGCTGGGTTCCTCTGTGTTAGTTTCTCTGTTAAAGGGTGGCATGTGGGTGCAGAGCTTCAGTATATGGGGAATAGTGGGGGGGCAGGAACATGGCCCTACGGTGGGGTCTTAGCAGCCCACCTGAGCTGTGCCGCCCCCCCCCACTATCTAATCTTCCCTCTGCAGCCTGGGGTCCCTAACGTGCTGGAGCAGGGTCCGGAGCGGGGCTCTAGCACTGCCAGGCGAATGCAGATGGTGAGGCCCCTGCATGCATGCACCTCCCCTCACCCCCCACTCCTGCACGAATGCCTCTGGCCACCACACCACCAACCTGCCTGTACACACACCTCCCCACCCCCACGCCACCACGATGGGACTGCTTGGGGGCTTCCCATCTATCAATGCATCCATCTGTCCATTCAAATGGCACTTGATGCAGCTATTCCAAGTCCCCTTCCCCACTCCTGGTTTCACTCTCTCTTTGCCCTAGCCCCCCATTCCCAGCCCTTTGCTAACTCTCACCCTCTCTCGCCTCCCACCTGCTGCCCTGGATGCAAGTAAGTTCAGTGGACCCTGGGGAGGGTGGGGGCTCTTCTCCCAGTCCCTCCAAGGCCTCTCTCTGGTGGCCTCAGCAACCAGAGGAAACTGCCAAACTTTGTAACAGCAGAGCCCCTGTTCAAATCCCATGAAACCCAAAACCTAGAACAGATACATCTAGTACCTGACTGATAAACCGTTTTTCTAGCTGCAAAATCATAAGCTCATGGTCATAGGTTTACAATTTCCCCATTATAAAGTCAGTCCAAGAGAAGCTGAGATAGAGTTGGTTGAGGGTACTGTCTGCCTTCCCTCAGGCTGTATCGGTGTTGGTTGTGGAGTGCTGGGGAGGGTCAGGCAGTCCCCTGGCCACATTTCCCCACCTGGCCCATGACGAGGTGGCAGGCAGGTTCTGAGTCCTGAACACGAGGAGCTAAATCTGGAGCACGTTAGCAGTCGGAACTATCGGCCTCCAAAAGCTTCCTGGAAAGTCAGGACTCCCCCCCCCCCATTAAAGGAGGGGGTGCCGAGTGGCAGGGCAGGGGCTTGGGCCATTCTCTTTGAGGGATATCATTCCCCTGCTAACAGCCTTCCCTGTCCCTTCCAGACCAAGAATACGGATTTCTACAAGCGAGAGGTAGGTCCTGGGGGACTGGTGCAGGCGTGTGGGCCCCACCTCACCCCTGGCCCCACCTCACAGGACCCGTGTCTTAGATCGAGTGCTGCAGAAAGGCGCTGGGCAGGACCCGGGTGAAGTCGTCCGTCAGCCTCGAGGCGTGAGTGGGATGGGGTGGTGTCCAGAGACCCCCAAGCCCAGAGCCCATACCCTTCCTCCAGTGCCCTCGACCCCACAGCCCCTCCCTGCATTGGCCCCCAGCACCAGCCTCATCCCTAGGTACCTGAAGTTCAGCAGCCAGTACAGGCCACATGACCCCATCATGTCGGGGTGCCTGCCCAGCAACCCCTGGATCACAGACGACGACACCTACTGGGCCATGAATGCACCCAGGTGAACCAAGGGTGGGAAAGAGGGTCTGCAGGTGTTCTCCTCAACCACCCCACCCATCCCCACATTTCTCTGTTACTGACACACCCATCCCCCCCTCGCCCCCAGGGTGGCTGTGCCCACAAAGCTCCGTGTAGAACGCTGGGGTTTCAGCTTCCAGGAGCTCTTAGAAGACCCCATGGGACGGGCCCATTTCATGGACTTTCTCAGGAAAGAGTTCAGTGGTGAGATGCCTTTTCCCCCACCCCAGTTCGAGGCCCCCGTAAGGGAGACTGTTGCCTGGGGACCCCCCTCCCAGGTTTCAAACAGCCCTAGCCACAGCTCAGGTGGGCCTAACCTGGTGCCTGGCCCCCCAGCTGAGAACCTCAGCTTCTGGGAGGCATGTGAAGAGCTGCGCCACGGAGGGCAGGCCCACGTCCCCGTCCTGGCGGATGCCGTGTACCAGTGAGTGCCAGGTGTGGGCTCAGTGGGCTGAAGGGCAGGTATGCGGAGCCTGGACCCACCGGGGGGCTGCCCCCCTACCCCCTCACACAGGCAGTTCCTGGCCCCTGGCGCTGCCCACTGGGTCAACATTGACAGTCAGACGATGGAGCGGACCTTGGAGGGCCTGAGACGGCCCCACCGCTACATGTTGGAAGCTGCCCAGCTGCACATCTACATGCTGATGAAGAAGGTGGGCCTTTTCCCCGTGACTTTACAGTCACATCCAGACTTCCTGTCTGTAGAGATTTCAGGAAGTCCCTCTAAGGCAGCGGTTCTCAACCTGTGGGTCGCGACCCCTTTGGGGGTCGAAAACCCTTTCACAGGGGTCGCCGGGTACTCGTATGTGGGCGTATCTGCATGTGGGCCTGGAGACGGATAGAGGAGCGGTGTCTTGGTTGCTAAGACCATCGAAAATATGTGTTTTCCGATGGTCTTAGGCGACCCCTGTGAAAGGTTGAGAACCGCTGCTCTAAGGGATATGGACCACCTCTTCCCTTTCCACACAGCGGCAGATGCCAGCAGCACACTGGAAACACACACGGTGTTTATTCAATGTCCTCAACTAGCCAGTCAGGGTCCACATCTGCCCACATGGCCTCTGTGTTGGTTTCCTGTTGCTGCTGTAAAAAAAACGCCACACACTTGGTGGCTTCAAGCAACATACATTTATTCTCTTATAGTTCTGGAGGCCAGAGTCTGACCTGGGTGTCACCTGGCTAAAGTCAAGGGATCCGAGGACATGGTTCTTTCTGGAGGCTCCAGGGGAGAATCTGTTCCCTGGCCTCTTCCTTCCGGAAGGCACCTACCTGCCTCCTTGGCTCATGGCGCATCCTCCATCTTCAGAAGCAGCAGCGTGTCACCTTTTTTTTTTTTTTAAGGTTTTATTGGGGAGTTGGGGAAGGGAACAGTATTGGGGAATTGGGGAAGGGAACATTGTGTTTTTCCAGGACCCATCAGCTCCAAGTCAAGTTGTTGTCCTTCAATCTTAGTTGTGGAGGGCGCAGCTCAGCTCCAAGTCCAGTCGCTGCTTTCAATCTAGTTGCAGGGGGCACAGCCCACCATCCCATGTGGGAGTCGAACTGGCAACCTTGTTGTTAGGAGCACGTGCTCTCACCAGCTGAGCCATCTGGTCACCTGTTGGCAGCTCAGCGGCAGCTCAGCTCGGGTGCAGCTCACTGGCCCATGTGGGAATTGAACTGGTGACACCATTGCTCAGAGCAGAGCTCGTGCTCTTAGCTAACTGAGCCACTCGGCCAGCCCCAATATTTATCTTGCTAACTTTTTTTTTTCAGTTTGCTTGACTTGGGATCCAAACAAGGTCCATACGTTAAAATTAGTTAGTGTCTCTTAAGCCTCTCCATATCTTTTCTTCTTTTTTGTTTTGTTTTGGAGGAACTAGGTCCTTTGTCCTGTATAGTTTCCCACAGGTTGGGTTTTGCTGAGTCCTTGTTTCTCTTAGACAGGTTTCTCTATAGTCATTGTGATAAATGACTAGTTAAATTTAAGGCTTGATCAGAGTCATCCTGAGTTTTGTTGTTATTTGTTCCATGTCATCAAGAACATTTTCTTCAGTTTGGTGTGTTCTTCCATCAGGAGGTACATGAGGTCTGGTCGCCTACCTTTTTGTGACCCAAGCAGCCACTGACAGTCATTGCCCAGACCCATGATATTATCAACAATGTTCTGATCCCATCGTTGCTGGAAGCCTCCCTCTGCCCGGTGTCTGCTGGCCCAGTGGTACCGATCGTATGGGAAACGCAGAACCAATGCTTGATTCCTTCTTTTAATTACTGCTTTTAAAAATAATGAGTTGGATCCCTAGCATCTGCTGAGGGCTGTCAGTGAGGTTTTGATGTTTTTTAATACCATCATAAATTCACATTTTCACCAGATTTTATGGCCTTTAACCTATGTCAGTCCATCTCCAGCCAGCTGGCTCCTGAGTTATCTGAGGTGTCCCAAAGTCCTTGCTTTCTAGTGTGATGGCTTGTCCCAGGGTCATCCTGACCCAGACCTAGAGCCAGCCATGTCCGCAGGCAGCTGGCACTTCTTCAAGGGTGGTGTTTAAAAACCTTGACCTACACACCAGATGTGTTCATGCCACTGTTTTGGTGGTCATTGTTTCCAGGCCTGTCACTGGACAGAATTAGGAAATATATATGTTCATACTGATACTTCTCATTCAGGCTCAGGATTAGACTTGCTTTACATCTTTGACCTTATATCTCTCTTTTCTCACCCCCACTGAAAATCTTGGCTTTCAACCACGCTAACATAATTACTCGTTTGCTTTTCTCACAATTCACTCCATAGACTGAGCTGAATAACACAACAGCACTGAAAATGGTTTGCTTTTTTCCTTTTTGGTCCCTTGTATGTCTCCTACTTGGGAAGTCCCTTTGAATCCTTCTGTTATTATGTGTAGTAAGGGTGGTGTCACCCACTAGGTGTCCAGCTCCACTTCTTCCATTTTACTTTCGATGTCTGGGGACTCCTTACTTATTTTATGATGATGTGAAATATCTACACAGTTTCAAAATCCAACCTGCAAAGCAAAGTATATTCATCGAAATCTAGCTTCTATGCCTACCCCTCCACCTTCTTCCCATTAAACAATTTAATATTTATATTTATTTATCTTTAAAAAATATAAGTCATTAGATGCATAGATTCCACTCTTATTTTTTTATTTAAAAAAATTTTTATTGGGGAACAGTGCGTTTTTCCAGGCTCCATCTGCTCCAAGTCAAGTAGTTGTTTCAATCTAGTTGTGGAGGGCGCAGCTCAGTGGCCCATGTGGGGATCGAACCGGCAACCTCGGTTTTATGAGCACTGCGTTCTAACCGACTGAGCTAACCGGCCACCCTCTCCCTCTTTATTGACTACTATACGGCTTTTCTCAACCCTGTGGTTTCTTCAGCTGTGTCCTTGTCCTCACTCTATGGGGTAGATGGTAGCTCGGCATTCCCCTTCCTCCGCTCCCCACCGGAGGGACCATGGTTTGCTTCTCTGGGCATGGGCCTGGGCTGTTGCTCATCTTTGGCTGTTAAATAACCCAAAAGGATGGGAGCCTGGGTCTCTCTGAGTCCGTTGACTTGGTCAGGGCAGGTCTCGGATGGCCGCCTCCAGCACCATCCCCTGGGGACTCTGGGGGTCAGAGGCTGGAGCCTCGGGGAAGCTGAGAGCACAGAGCCGGTCAGGGCTGACTGACATCTCTTGCAGGACTCTTACCCGAGGTTCCTGAAGTCGGACATGTACAAAAGCTTGCTGGAGGAAGCCGTGATCCCCCTGGAGGTGAAGAGATGGTGAGCCTAGGTGGTGCCCTGCACCGGGGAGCTGTGAGACCAGCCGGATGATTGAAGCTACCCTGCACTCAGCCCCTTCTCACCTACAGTGTGTTCCCGTTCATGCGGAAGCCACGGCATTCGAGCCCCAGCCCTGCTTTCCTTCCTGCCGCTGCCTCTGAGGATCCTGCAACTGCTGCTGGGGAGGCCTAGCTGGGCCTGAGCCTGGAGGGAGAGGTGGTATCCTCTCCTCCTTCCTCCCACCCGGGGGCCTGGCAGCTGCTGAAACCTCCAGCATGAGCGTCCCCTTGTGCACAGAGGGTTTTGTCTTTCTGTGGGGCACAAGAGTCTCAGGCTTTGCAGAAGGGACTGGTCCAGGGGCTGACTCCCAGGGAGGAGGTGTCATTGGCTGAGCTTGGGTCACCTGGAGAAAGGTGGGATGAGATGGGCAAACCAGACCGAAGCCATGCTCCTGGCAACCTGTGGTCTTCAGTTTGGCGCTGGGGGCCCACTCCCATCTCCAGAACCATTAATTCAGCTCGCGAGTACCTGGGAGCAAGATGCACAGACAGGTGATGTCCAGCAGGTGGCACCTGTCCTGTGGTGAGGACATGCAGGCTTCAGGGGGAATTTACCCACTCCACTTTGCCCAGTATGACCCTGGTGAGGACTCACAGAGCTCTCTGAATTTGGCTGAGGCTGTGCTCAGCCTTCCACCGAGTCCAGAGGCGTCCCCACAGGTGCCACCCTGACCTTCACTGTCACGGCACATGTCCCAGACCTTGTCCTAAAGATGCACCTCCACCTGGTCCTGAGGCTGTGGCTTCTCTGCCAGTGTTGCACAGTGATGGCCTCGATGTCACCACCCTTCTCACCACCCGTCCCGGTTCACAGCCCTGCCTGGGTAGGTGCAGCCTTTGGGGAGAGCAGTGACAATGGTTGGAGGCCCCACTGTCCCCCAGACTCAGGGTGAAGGGAGCGTAGCTCGGACTGGATCAGCTGGGGCAGTGTCCCCCTACCCCCAGCCCCCAGGCTAGCTTGCTCTTGTCCACTCCTGCCTACTCCTGGCACAGAAATAAAAGATTGTCAGGTTGTTGGCCCTCACTCTGAGCCTATGCTGACATGGTCCAAATCGTGGTGTTTCTCTGCACATGTACATACATGCACATGATTTGCATGTATCCAAGTGTGGTTTATGTGCATGTGTATGTTGTATGTGGTGTATGCATGTGTTGTGTGTGCATGTGTGTGGAGTGTGTGAGGTGTGCAGTAGTGAAGGTGGTAAAAGACAGTAGGGGGAATTCAAGTGTCAGAGGTGTCACAGAGGGTCCAGTGTGTGGGCATCCACAGCAGAGGTGGGACAGCAGAGGGTGGACTCAGGCTGCAGACTGGGGGGCTTGGTCTTTGGGGAGACAGTTGGAACGCTGTTTGTGCTCTGACAAGATAAGGATGCCTGAGTGTTCCAGGGAGAGTGAAGAAACTGAGTCCAGGGAGTCTGTGGTGGGAGGCTCCTGGTGTGGGACCCATTGTCTCCTGGGCCAGGTGTGCCCTAAGGCCTCAGAGTTCCGGAGAGCATGTGTGGACTCCCGTGGACGCGACTGCTTTATTTACAAGTCCAGGGGACTGGAGGCCCACCAGTGGGGGCATCCCCTGGGCTCAGCCCCCTAACTCCTGCTTACTGTCCTGAGACCAAAAGGGTGGTCTCTCCCCAGAGCTGGCTCCTCTGCAATGCTGTGGACGCCAACTTGGACCCTGGGAGGCTGTGGGCATCACTCAAGTCCCCAGGAGATTTTCATTTGCACACCTGTTGTGCCTGAGGCCTTGTAGGCTGGGTAGCTTTTCACACGGACAAGAGACCAGCTCCTTGGCACAAGTACACCTGTCCTTTCTTTTTTTTTTTTTTTTAAAGATTTTTATTGGTGAATTGGGGGGATGGGAACAGTGCTGGGGAATTGGGGGAAGGGGAACAGACAAGTTGCTGTCATTT